GGTGGGGGGGGCGGGGGGGGCGCTTTGGCAGCCACCTGTATTGCTGGATCATTTCCAGCAAGGTTGCTCAACTGACATCTATGCTACCAGGAACTGTGCACAGGCATCAGATAGATCTCTTGGTTTTCTTAAAGGAACCCGCACAAAAATACCCTTTTCTCATCTTCAAAAATTATTTGCCATTGTTTGTTGTGTTCAGGGAAGCCTTCTGTGCAGTCCTCGCAGAGGAAAGGTTCCTAATTTCATGCTGATACTTATTGGTTTCATGGAAAGCCTAACATGTTTCTAGCTCGGAATTCACAGCATGGGTCCATTCGGGGGACAATGAAATACTGATTCAATGATTAACACCACTGAAAAAAGAGTTCCTGTCAGCTGGTCCAGGTCATTAGTCTCATATGTCAGGGTCAGTCACGGACAGCCAAATATTAACTGCAGCATTTTGTTTATGAAGGGGCAATAGCCTTAGGGAGAAAACATATAATACAAGCAAAGCAGTGAAAGATAAAACCAAAATACTGATGTTCATGCTTGCACACAATAGTAACAGGTATGCAGGAAAAATACAAAGAAGCTAAATATACACAAAATGTTCTCATGCAAGAGATATGAAGAAATACAAGAGGTAACACTACAAAACGGGAAAGGTGAAGCACCTTTATTGTAAGACAGAAATCATAAATATCTTCTGCTCAGTAAATCATCAAGTCTATGAAAAGTGAAACAATGTAAACAACAAACTCAGCAGCCATAAATATGGCTGACACAGACGTCCCACAGTGTATTTTTCAGGTAGCCTAAGGACGTGGACCTGTACATTTAGACTGCCATGTATGCTGTCTGTCAAGGAGATCAGGATGTCCACTTCCACCCCTTTAGTGGGAAGTACACATTCAAATTCTTTCAGTAGGTTTGAAAAAATCTCAGACAAATTTATTGAAAGGGAGAACAAAGAAGTTACCACAAGCAACCCCATGCAGGGGAAAAGCAACACTCCATCGGTACTAAAAGCACCAACAGCTTCCTCTTGATGAGCAGGTGTACCCATGAAAGGTGCCCGTCAGTGTGAATAAAGGTAGCTCGTGTGTGGAAACACAAACAAAAATCCAGCCTGCACAGAGTTTTCCCAAAAAAAATACAGTATGGAAAACATGATTCGCACAAAGCACTCAATACACTCAGAAATAATCTGCTCTTCTTATTACATGATGTTAACTCCTTTGCTATACGTCATAAAGCTCTGTCAAAGACACAGGAAAGTGTCCATTATTTCTTCTCTTCCTGAATCTTTTCTGGCATTCTCTCCAACTAACTGGAAACACATAACACGTTCCAGACTTGGTGTACCACATCTGAAACAAGGAAAGTATTAATTCCCTGGGCTGTAAAGTGATATCCCAGGAGGCAGAATGAAGTAAAAATGGCACGTTTACTCTCCTATCATATACTGCAAACTCATGTGCCAATATGGAAGGACAAAGTGATAGCATTCATTCAAAAAAATGGAGGAACAGAAGAAATCTGTGAGTTAAATTTTCAAGGAGTATCAGAACATACAGTTGTATAAATACACTGATGAGCTTTTCCTCTTCTGGGTGCAGGAACAGCATAAATTATTACAACGGCTTTAACCCAGAGACTAGGGCTACTGTTTACTTATTCCAACACATAATTTTGTCCAAAGTAACACCACCATAATGTTTAAAAAAAAAGGGAGAGGAAGATTTTTCTGGGCCATTTTAGCCTTTCCTGATCTTGTTAGGATATGAAGCACTGTAGAAACACTTCATATGAGTATTAGTTGCAAAGGAGATTTTAATGATGGTACACACCCTTGTACTTACTGTTCTCTTGAACAATTTCCTAAAAGTACCTGTCGAGACTTGAAATTACCAAGTGCTGTCAAAGTGTTTGCCTTATGATCACAATAGTAATTGTTCACCAGCCATCAACATTCACAGTCTCAACTTAAGCGTGTTTTCCAAAGCTTCCAGGTTTTCTGCTCAGCATGTAAAACCTTTGCAATTCCATATGGTTCAGACTAAAACTATACATATGTGGCATCAAACAGAAACTACAGCATCACTTCAATGCAATTCACTCTAAGTCAAACTCAGACTTGTTTATACATGAACAGGCATTCACCCTTCACGTGAAACATCCATAAAAGTTTTCCCAACCTTCCCCCAGCCTTCAAACAACTCTCCGATTTCAAGAAACACATCATCAGAAATAAACTTCCCGTAGATCACCACGCCAAACAGAAACAAACCACTTGGGAGTAACACAAGCAAAACTTGCCAATACATCTGCAGAGGCACAAGAAATGCCATCCACCACAGAACTAAGACAAACAGACAGGGGTACACTTACATTTCCCAGAATGTACCAAACATACCAAATGGCCGCATGGAAAAGTAACGGCCAGGACTAACAACAACTACATAGACGAATGAAGATACATAGATAATCAGTAAAAGGGAGCACTGCCAGGAGGTTAATACTTCTTCAAAACTATAAACTTTCAGTCCTGATATTCCAAAGAGACCTACAAAGTATTTTCAAAAAATAACTCAGCAAACTTATAACTCAACCAGATATCAAAAACGACAGAATGACTACCGCCCTACATGCTTCATAGGTGATAAATATATTTCTCTTTTTTTCTATCTTAAAACCTGTTCTCTTGCTATCAACCTGCTATCATTGCCCCACTGGAAACAACGTTGTTTTCTCTCAAATGGTCTAACAACACAACGAAGTTAAACTCTGACAAATGGGTTTCAAGCTACATTATGTGGCTGCTTCTGTTTCCAAGCTACAAAATTACTTGTGCCTCACAGCTTTGTGAGTTTTCCTCCATCCACATTTTGGTTAATATTAGCTTTCCCTGTAGATTTAGCCTAGTTTAAAAGCACAATGTAACACCATAAGTAGCCTACTCTAATTTACAGAGCATGATATAAAATGATAACGCTTTGTTATAAAATTCCAACTTCAGTACTGTTCTGCTGAAAGTTCTCTCCCCTTGCCTGCAAAGTGTGGACAGAAAATCTTCTTCCTCCTCCTTCTTTAATAAAAATGCAAGCACCATCAGGAACATACCACACTTGAGGATAAGGTAATTTTCTTGCAGTAACTACCAATAAAATTAATTTCACTTCGATGGTTTCTTGTAGTAAATTTCATTAAAATAAATTGGACTTTGATGGACACACAAAATTTCCCACTTCATTAGACCTGAGATTATTTTTTTTTTTCTTTCAGGCTTAAATAAAAACTTACATCTTTTCCCAGGACTCTAAGTTCAAACTGTGTTTCCTTGAAGTGAACTTTTGTAATTCTAGGCCTGTAATATTGGAAAAAAAGACAGATAGAACTTCATGAGACTTTCATTTCATGTGTAATATAATATAAAGTTGTATATATTTACATAAAAAGACAGAAAGGAATTCACAGGTAGATTTTTTTTTTTCCTCAGGTATGCACTAGGTATCAACACAAAATTAGCAGTATTTAAACATTTCAGCATGACTATGGTAAAAGTGAACTATTTTTTTCCAATAATTGGATTATCAAAAAATTAAAAATCTGTATAATCCAGACAAAGATTAGGAATTCCAACTATACTTTTTTTTTTATTGATACAAGTAACCTTTCAAATACATATCACAAATCATACATTTCCATAAAACAACATTGTTATTGTTTTAGCACAGACTGCACATTTAAATTATACATACCAGAAATATTTTCCTACTTGTTTTTTATTCTTGTAGACAACAACTCCTATGGGTGTTAATCCTAAAAAATATTCAGATTTGTTTTCACCCTAGAAAATAAAAATGTATGTCATTCACACAGTTGCAAGTTGTATCACTGTAGCAGTGAGGTATAGTGAGGAAGTCAGCCTGAGGACTAACTTGAACATAATGTTTCACTCTCCGTGCAAATGGAAAAATAGTACTTGACCTACTATTTTCACTCCTATACGAAAACTTGTAGGCACAGAGGCAAAAAGGCAAGAAAGAAGGGCAGTAAGGGAAAGAATGGGACATTCCACATGCCGTGGTGAAAAAGAAAAATAACTTTTTTTTTTTTAAGGAATTACTTTCGGCTATTTGGCAAATGGCCAAAACGCAGAAACTAAACTCTTTATTCAGACATGAATGCAACAGACATCCAAACTTTTAGCTGAAGGTAAATAGTAATTTTCTGACCTCTTCTACTATAATATAACCTCACAGCTGCCTTCTCCCTCCTAAAACAGTATGGCCTGCGTACTGCTACCAAGTGAAGTAGCTCCTTAGAGAGATTCAGAGCATCTTTTCTGTTCAGAATGGGTAGTGACATGCAAGAACAGCCGCATGCATCATGTCCTCCAAAGGAAACCGTTTCTAAGGTCGGTATCCAAATCGCAAAACCGCGTCGGGAGAGAACAAGGTGAAAATGCTGGTGCCAAGTGGCAGAAGGCCCCCTCCTCCCTCATTTACAGTCAGTAACCAAAATCAGATGCACCCTACGCTTGAAAGAGTGCAAAACTTAGCGCATGAGGTTAAAAGAAAGTCAGCTGCAAAAGCTTGTTGATCTGCCTACTTGAAGCAATGAGGAAGAGCCCTGCAAGCTCTAAACCAGCAGAGCACAAACCACAAAAAATACCAACTGTGAGATGGACTGACTGTGGAAAGTGTCCTTCTGTGTGACTACTGACGTGAGAAAGCTCAAGCACACCTCCGCAAGCTCTGCTGTGCTCCTCACTGAACTAAATGCTAAAGGCAACTTTACTTTTAATATGACCAAGCAAGGAAAAGAACTACATCTCTTCATGTGTGCAGCTTCAGTCTAAAATGAGGGCTTTGGTTGCTGTTGTAATATAAACAGAAACAATGATATTCATGGATTAGACTTGGGCTTATTACAACTCACCCCTCATTACCCATGCAGGGATCTCATTGCACAGCACATGCAAGCTAAAAGAAAAAAAAATTCCAGGCTCTGCTAATTTAATATGATTTTGTTGGATCATGTTGAATCTTGTTCCAGTAACTCCCCCAGCTTTCTATGAGTGGGAGGAGCACAGAGCATGGTATATGAATACAATTAAGCCACAGGGTGCATTAAAAAATACTTCATATTGCACGCTACGCAGTGATTTCTTTATTTTCTTTCAAGTAATTTTACAAAGTAGTGACATCTAACTCAGTGAACTATCTATATTACAACTCCCCATTTGAACTTCTGATTTCCTTTTATTCAAAAAAAACCTGTCACAAGCACAATTATTCAAACAAGATAGAATGATGTTTCCACCAGGAGCACATAGCCTCCAGGTGATAACTTGGATCCAATCCCAACATACATGCTGTTTTACAAAAGAAGAAGGGTTTTGCTGAGGCAATACAGACAACTTGCAATGCTGCATGACACAGCAAAGGAAAAGCTGGAAGCATACTCTGGATCTTTAGCAAAACCTTCACAACGAATATTTAAAAAAGCCAGACATGCTGCTGCTACCCCACCCTAGTTTTTGCAATGGTATTGAAAAGGTTTCAGGACACGCTTGCTGTTATTTACACAAGAATAATGTGCAAATTCCTGTGTCAAAGACAAAGATTATAATCCTCTCTCATCTCTCCTGACAATTGCACTAATTACTTCTTATTTATCTGAATTGTTTTTTTCAGAGTATAACTGTTTGGTTTTTATAGGTGTAATACAAACACAGCCTTTCATCTGAATACCACTAGGCTTCTGTACATATGAATGACTGAATCCCCTCAGTCTGTACAGATGTCTTCCTTTCAATTTCTTAAGTATAGCATTTCAAGTTATTCTGTGGCAACTAAACTATATAAATACTTTCCCTCTCATTAGTACAAGATTTTTTTTTTCATTGTTATCAAATTTAAAATATTTAAACAATACTTACATAAACAGGATGGAGATCCACTCCATACATTTCCAGGGATTTGGCCACCCCTAAGTAGTTCACTTCTGCCTCAGCA